AAAAGTTGCTAAAAACATTTGGAGATTTCCGTAATATTTTAAACATTTAAACGACTAGTTCGCTAAAACTGAACCCCTCAATATATATATATATATATATATATATATATATATATACTCTCACACATACCTCTCAAATTAAAGATCTGCGCGAAATATTTTGACACGGAAAATGATTTGAGGGATTTTCCCGCAGACGGATAGTCGTCGCGGAGAAGAAAGGAGATCAAGCAGAACGCAGGAGGGAAGGTTTCATATAGGCCAACCCAGGTGATTACGGCAGTAATCAGCTCACTGTTGCATCTTATTGTATGATTCCAACGTCCATTCCAGCTTAAAAAAAAGTCCCTTAGTGTGGCTCCGCAAAGACTTTTGTGCGTGTTTATGTGCCGCACCTAAACATGTGCTAAAACGTTGGCCTGATGTTGATTTCAATGATCACGCTGGATCCCTTTTGATATCAGTTTGCTTTGTTTCGGTAGACTAATTTCATACATTATCCCACTAGAAACCAACGATCAGTCGCATCTTCCGGGCACACAGCTCTCCAGAACACATTTCTTTACCTACTGATTTCCGCCACGCGGCCGGCCCAGCTGTTTTACGAAAAGCTCGGATTACATGACGCTTTTTACAGTTCAGCCTATTCGGGGTTATTCTGAGATTTTTCCTCATTTTACATGGTCCTAAACCTCTTATGACGTTACACTCGGATGGATTGTCTCACTCTATGTGCCCTATGGTTGTATGGCTTCTGGATCTAATAGCCACCTTTAGCCTGGTAGAGGCAGGTGCTTCAATCAGTGTCTTGGGGTAAACGTCACCCACAATTTTGAAGCTGTGCCAGTGAATAATCCACAAGATGCTTCTAAAGCTTGAATTATTGTATGCTTAAGCTTACAGAAACTAAGATCATTCATCAAGTGCGGGACAAAAACCATGGCTTTCCAAAAGCTTAACAACTACCAAACGAAATGTTTGACCCCATGAGCACGCTTCTGGACATTTAAATGCCACAGAAGTTCTACTTGGATGCCTGCAGGAACCCAGTTTATTAATTTTGGCGACAAACAGCCACACCGCTTGAAATAGCATGAAATACGTGCAACAAACTCAGTGGACACCAAAACCCTGCAACAATTCGCCCCGCCATTGCCCCCACCTCTTACATAAAAATTGGAGTCTAAGGTAGTCTGGTGGTGGAAATTGGAGCTCCTTCCATATAAGAAAAACGGTCAAACAGGCAAACAGTTGCAGCTTTTGGAGTAAAGTGCCCCATTTTACCAACTTCCTGATGAACACTAGAATGGAGTTGAGCGCAGTGGTATTGGATCTCGGTTTCTCAGATCGTTCTACTTCTGTCCGATTGGTGACTAAATACTTTTTACTCGACATTGGCTGCAAAAATCATCAATGGCCTTGCGTATGCATAGCCTCTGTACGTCCTCATGCTTGTCGACATTTAGCCGGGTTCATTGACAAACCCCATGCCAAGTAAAGCCACATCCATTTTGGCATCCCTGACACTACACCGCATCCAAATGGGCTGCAACGTGCGTTGACTGCTTTGCTCGTGCTAGTTACCGTCCTTATAACTGAAGTCTCGGCATTCTGATGATACGTTACCTCTAGGAAGTGAACTGTGGCTCCCTTGCTATTACTCAAACTTGACGCGTAGCGGTGTCTTCGTTTCATTGTCCCACATTTCTCCCACCGTTTTAGGTGCCCACAGGAGTCGCAATTTGCTGCTAACGGCCTCAATGTGTACTTTAAGCTCCAGTCTGAAGCTTCATTCTCAACACTGACTTTTCCATTTCTCAAGGCTTTGACTGTCAGAAGACGACACCCAAGACATTTCATGAGAGCTCATATGTATCAACAACCTATGACATTAAGCAGAGTACTTCTTCGGAAGGCTGAAACCGGATGCATGCAGATTATATGTCTCACCACCGATTCGCGTCACATCTGGAAGTTCCTACGCTGTCAGCTACTTGACAGCAAACACGGGAAGCTTGTATTTCATGAGAGTTAGCAACGTGCATTCTTGCATTAATACGACGGAGTTCGTATTCCCACGCAACCTACATCCCAAGCTACAACGCAGTTAATAAAAGCACGTTATTGTGTTAAAAGACGACAATTTTGAGATTGTGACTTTCAGACGAGTCAAACATGCTTTGATTTTGCCCTCCAATTTCTCTTTTTGCTCACCGCGGATAACCTTACCTGACTCGTCATCTTTACCGACTTGTTAATTCTCTTCAGGCGTACATATTCGAGAACCACATTAGCACATTTTCTGCTCACCGCAGTCGGAGCGCCAATATTCCGACTACACTTGTATCAGACCCAGCCCAAGTCGCACACACAGCAGTAAACCGGCTCGTGTACGCCATGGGAAAACATTTACGCTCCTTTCTAAACCGTCAACAACAAACAAACGTGCAGAGTGTCTTACCGTTGGGACGCATTTGCATAACCAGAAAGGTGCAGCGGTGAAATATTTACCCAAATTGCATGATTTTTGATTTCTCGGATTGGCTGCACAGAAAGACGGAGAGAAGTTGCTTGGCGTAACAGCATCAGATGTTGACTTGGACTGTGGAAACCACTGCCAATGCCCGACAAATCCCAGCTAGAAAACCCGTGAAAGCTTTTAATTTAAAAAAGTGGTCAGTCTGTGTGTGGATTCCGTCACAACTAGCAGGTGCCATTCACGGATTCACAGATTCATACACAGGATCGAGGCTTTTGCCCAAGTTTCCAGGTTTTGTTCTTGCCGGTCAGTGGCTGAAAGGCACAAGTGAAAAAAGGGTGTAGCACTGCTCTTCATGTTCTCAGCGCGGGGCAGTATGCTTGCCAGCGCGAGGATTCGCATAAATGTCTAATAGTGCTTTAAATTGGGTTCTAGAAGGAGCGTGTACAACCGTCGGGGAAAGGTCATTCCACGCAGCCACTACCCGAAATGAGGAAAAAGTTTGTCTAATGAATGAGTGTACTCTGAGCTTGAAGATCTTCTTACTATGTCCCCGCCGTGTGTTTGCTGGGTCAACGGTAAAAACCCTGTTTGCCAAGCTTTGTTCAAACAGGGCATAAGTAAGAATAAGGTCCCCTCGGAGGCGACGGTACTCCAGGGGAAAGAGATCAAGCATCGAGAGACGCGTTTCGTAGTCCACGGATTTGAGGCCGGCAACCATTCTCGTGGCGGCCCGCTGGACACGCTCAATGAGGGTGACGTCTTTCGTACGTCCTGAGTAGACAACTTGGTTGGCGTACTCCAGGAGCGGTCTGACGTAGGCCCCATAGAGTGTTTGGAAGTCCATGCGAGTAATACGGGAGAAGGCGCGTCGGATCATCCGTAAAATGGCGAATGCCTTTTGGGCCGATTTCTCGTGGTGTAGTGAGAAGGACAAGTTTGAGTAGACCCAAATGCCCAAATCCTTTTTGGCATCTATCCTGATGATGTTTTCTGGTCCGCTTTCACCATGCATAACAAAGGCATTCGCTGAATCCCCTCCAAACGACATATGGACGCACTTTTCATCATTCAGAGGAAGGTGCCAGTCCAACGACCACTGCTTAGCAGCGGGAAGCCAGCCTTCCCTTTACAGCCTCGCCAAATTTGTAGTGATTCGGCCACCCGAAAAGCAGCTTCACCAGGAGAGTGTAGCAAATCAATGAAGATACCAACCTTAGGGTGAGTACACAATAACAAAGGGAGTCAAAACAATTAGATTCACCGAGAATTGTTCTTCTTCAAATCGTTTATTTTTAGACAATATCACGGAATAAATAACCAACCAAATATGCTTGTTCATGGAAATAATTCTGAAAAGTTCTCATAGAATAAATTCCAAAGAAAGTCTGAAATTCGTAAAAGATTTCGAAAATCGGTAGATTTATTCATGGGCAAGGTTCCGCTTTCGAGAAAAAAGCTTCGTCAGGCCAAGT